AGTTGCTCTGCCCCAGGCTTCCTGGAATCAGCCGCTGATCAGTTTCAGCAGCAGCTGATTTGGGGACGCCTGGGTTTCTTAAGTTGAATCTGTATGTAAGTCAGAACTGGCGTCCAGATTCAGCCGCGGTTGAAACTGATTAGTTTCAGCAGTGGCTGACGCCAGTTCCGACTTACATACAGATTCAACTTAAGAACAAGCCTACAGTCCCTATCTTGTACGTAACCCGGGGACTGCCTATATATGGTACTGCTGGATCCAGTTGCAAAGTCTCTTCCATTCACACCACCAAATGCCAGCCTGGGCTCTCTTCTTTATGAGATCTCGTCATCTGTGAAATCCAGAATTTAGACACAGGCGGGTGTGACTCAAGAACCTTTTTATGCCAAGGGTGAGTAGTTTTACAGGCATCCCCAAGATCAGATATATGCATGTTAAGTTTACCAAAAGGTGACAAGTGAGATCTCTACCAAGAGCCAAATGTCCACTGGTATTTGAAATTATTGTAAAATATAGGTACAGGTATTTAAGAGAGTATATATTTGTAGTGAAAAGTATGTTCTTAAGGTATATCAATTATGACAGATCATCAAAAGGTAATAAACATGCTCATGTCAGGAAGCAAGCAGGAAACACTTTTACGTCTCTCTGGCTGGAAATGTATAAGATCCAACCAAGCCTAACTGTAATATGTGGGAAGGAGTTTGGGTGAGCTCTGCTCTTTAAGACATGACAATATCTTGTTAAGTCTAGGCTCTAGAAATGAGTGGTATGATTTTATTTTTATGTAACCATGTGTTTTCAGTATTTCAACTTGCTATCTCTTGAATCTGTACTTAAATAACATTTTAATTGTCTGAGCTATAAACTTATCTTCGGGCTGTGTGTGTTAAGTGGAACAGTAATCTGAGCTGTATATGGCAAGCTGTTCCTCTGGGAGCAGAGAATCTGTAAATTCTGCATAGAAACAGCAGAGCTTCTACAGGCTAAGCAGGAAGTGCTTGTTGCCTATGGCAGCGGGGTCAGGAAGCTTCCTCACACTAATGGCAGGTAGAAGCCTCACTCTGGAAGCGTGACTGAGGGTTGTCCAGGTCTAATCTGTATCTAAGGAAAGGCCTGTCTCATGACATTTTCTCATACTCTGGATCTAATTTTTTTCTTTATTGAAGTAGTACTTGAGTGATACTGGTAAGAGATCAGAGTATAGATATTTGTTGTGACGATTCTCACTTTACCCAGAGTATCTGTCCTAAGCTGCTGTTGGAATGTTGCCAATGACAACATGAAATTAAATCTTTCTCCCTACCTCCCATGTGCTGACTGTACAGTCTCCGAAGTGTCTTCTGCTCATAGGTTCTTGGCAAATAAAGGCCTAAGACTGAGATTTGGTCATGGTTATAACTTTGGGAAGTTTGTGGAATTATCTATAGACTGTTGAGATTTGCCTTGACATCTTTTTTTAAACCAGCAAAATTCAAAGCTAAAAAGTAATGCTGAATAACAATAGCTTGAGAGAAAATTAGGGTGCCATTTTTGTTCAATATAAAAATTCATTTCTACTTTATTCTGAAATGATCTTTAATTAGGCAGTTTCGTATTTTCCTTTTCAGGATGTGGCCTAAACTACCATAAGAGGTGTGCATTTAAAATCCCTAACAACTGCAGTGGTGTACGTAAAAGACGACTCTCAAATGTTTCCTTAACGGGACTCAACACTATTCGGACAGTGTCTGCAGAACTCTCACCTACAACCCCAGATGAGGCTCTTCTGGTATGCAATTATCTAACTATTAAAATTATAGATTTGCAAAAGAAATGAAATTTAATGTTTTGGGTTTTGTTCTTCCTCCTAGACACAGTGATGGAAGGGTATATAAATTTACCATATTTTGTTGTGAAAAGGGTACCTTAACACAACAGTAAGGACGTTATCTTATCAGATTAATGCATATTTGTTAAGATTGGCTTCCATCATAACCCTAGTATAATGAATAATAATCCATTTTTGAAGTATTATTGTATTTGAGCATCTGGTGCTGTCACCCTTACTTAGATGAGTAGTCCCAACTGGTTGTAGAATTGACCCATATAAATTAGAATTGATGTGACAAATATGTTTAGCCCATAATTAGAAAAAAAATCTTGCACGTCAAAGCAGCATATGTATTGATTTGTGATACAGCAAAAAATGGCCGCAGGAAAACTGTTGAAATGGGGTCTCATTAAATATTTGAATAAGTTCTATTTTTGGTTGTATGTGTATGCATGCAGACTTCTTTCATCTGTATAATGCATAAATCACAATGATTCCTACAGAACAAACAACAGTTTTAACTACTAAACAGAATAGTTTTCTGTGCAAATCATCCTTTTGTATTTGATGTTTACATGTGCATCTTGATTTTAAAAAGAGTATTAGAGTTAGGAAAAAAAATTTAGGGCTTGTTTGCCTGCCACAAGCAAAGTACTCTACAGGGGTGTGATTTTTCAAGGACGTTAATATGCTGCATTCTGACTGTCCTCCATAGCTCCTAACAGTGCATTCTTATTCACGTTAACATTAATGTGCCATCAGGGTCTACCTGAAAGTTGGAGAGCTTTACTAATCACCCTGCTTTGTCACACTCTTTGTAGACAAGCACTTGGATTATAAAATAAAATACATGCATTTATATATTTCCTTTAAGAATAAAAAGTTAGGTTACTATATATATTTTTGTCATGGAAATGGATACCTAAATCATATGTACATTGCTAGAGCCCTGCCCATCTGTGGCTATCCATTTTATATCTGCAGATATTCATATCTACACTTCTCAATGGGGATATCCACCGTTCATTTCTGCAGATACAGATGTGAATGCAGATACTAATTTTGCATTCATGCAGAGCTCTATACATTGACATTTTAATAGCTAAAAAGCTGCACTGTGCACACAGAAATGAACCTAATACTAAATGAAAATTTTAAAACATTTTAATTCAAAAAAGAGGAAAGAATTCATAAGCATATGTGAATAATCATTATCTTGTTTTCTTTTCAATTAAAATGTTACACTTATTGAACTTGACATACAAAAAGAGTGTTATTCAAATGGCATAGGCCTTGTGTTACATTCAACATCATCCAGGAATCCCAATTATCTTCAAATGTCACTAATTATCATTAGCCTTAAGTTTCTTGGAAATTTAGGTGCACATTATGGCTACATGCATTTTTTAAATAAAAACTTAATTAAAATATCTAATAGAGGAAAAAACTTTGCAGATTGTGCTTCTTTTCAAAAGTTTATTTTAGAAATTCACATTTACTAATGTCATTACAATATTGATAAAAATAGAATTAAAGGACAATATGGCACTGTATCTGGAAGTATGATTTAAAAAGTGGGTTACTACTTTACATACATTTTAAATAGTTTAAAACAACTCCAAGCCTTAGTACTTCCAAAAAACCCCAAAAAACAAACAAAAAAACACCTCATATTGGATTCAAAAGGATAAGATGCTGTCTAGGAACAAATATATGTGTTCATATTTTATTATTTTATAACCCACTGTTGAATTTTGAATGTCACACGTGTGGAAAATGCAGGCTACTTTTGTACTTCACTTAATGTATGATTATATATTGAAAATGTGCTGTTTACACAAAATAATTGTTTCAAATAATTTTGGGAGGCAGGATGGGTCAGCGGGTTGATGACAGAATATGGCGTCTTTGTCATTAAGGCCATTTGTGTGTATCCAGCCCAGTTAAGTAATGATTCAGAATGATCAGCTAAAGTCTGTATGATGACTTACATTAGTGATTGGGTGTCATAGGGCACATCTTCACTCCCTACGTCAGAGACTGACATTCTGGCATTCGATTTAGCGGGTCTAGTATGGTATAGACCTGTAAATAAAATGTTGAGGGCAGCTCCAGCTGGCGCCTGTACTCTTTGTGGTCACAAGGACTAAGGAAAACCAAGGGGAGTGTTTGCTCCAATCTGACTCCCACTGTGTAGACACTGCCAAGCTCAGCTTAAGGTAAGCTGACTCCAACTATGTATTTTATGTAGCTGGCGTTGCTTACCTTAAACTGACCTTCTGGGTCTAATGTAGACGTAGCCTGAGTTGAGGATCTCAAGGATGCCATTATTGTGTGTAAACATAGTGGAGGTAAGCTTTCAGAACTGTCATTACAGAAACTTTCTGGAACATTAAATCGTCTGTACTATAGAATACTCAGCAAGTCTCGGGGGACACGGTAAACTTTAAAGGGATCTGGGGCTGTGGTGCAGGCTTCTGTATATACATACTTTGTTAGCTGTGCAACAGAATTTGAAAACTTTATTAGATTTGTAATTCTGAATAAAGGCTTGCCTGTCTGTCGTTAGGCATATGTTCCTTGAATTAATCTTAATTAATCAATCTTACTGTAATCATACTTAAAAAGTCCAAGTTATCACTCTAAATTTCAATCTGAAGAAATATAGTGGGTTCATAATTAATGTCTGTGCATAAATAATAATAACATTTCTTTACAAAGCATTTACTCTTACCATCTTACCATAGTTTAGAATGACATATAGATCAGGGGTTCCCAAACTTTTTGACAGGGGGATCAGCAAATCCATTCACGACCTTTTGGGGGAACCGGTAACAGTCATTTGCATATTTTCATATTTATTAAGCAAATGATGAATATTCAACTAAGTTGTTTCTGGTCCTCCCAAAGCCCTCAGTGCCAGCATTAGCAAAGCTTTTGATACAGTCACCAGCAAGTTGAGGGAATATAGATTGGATAAATAGACTGTAAGATGGATAGAAAGCTGGCTAGATCAGGGTTTCCCACACTTTTTACTTTAGTTGGAACCTGGTTTTTTTTCAGTACTGTTTTTTGCAGCCCAAAAATATAAACACACAGAAAAAAAGAATTAAAAATGAATAAATTTTCAGTGTTTCACCTGGCTGCATCCTCCACCCAGTCTGGGCCAGGGCTTGGGGGACCCGGCACTGCATGGGCTCTCCAGAAGGCGGGAGCAGGAGCAGATTGGTATCTGGCTAGGAAGGAGGGTGCAAAGAGGGATAAGGTTGCCAGGTGTCCAGTTTTGTACTGGACAGTCCGGTATTTGAGGCTTCTCTCCAGGAAACAAATTGAGAAAATACCGGACATATAAAATGTCCGGTATTTTCTAATTAGGAAAGTTTTATTACTATTAGGTGTATCAGTCCTTAGCTGCGAACTGCCTGGCTGGTAGATGTGCTCAGGCTGTATGAATGTGCCTTACCTCCTTGAGGAGGGCCCCGACAGTGGACTTCCCCATGCTGAACTGGTTGCTCACCGATCAATAACTGTCGGGCATGGCAAGCTTCCAGACGGCGATTGCGACCCGCTTCTCCAGGGGGATGGCAGGCCGCAGGTGGGTGTCACGTCATCGGAGGGCAGGGGTGAGCCAGGCACACAGCTCCAAAAAAATGGTCTTCCTCATGTGGAAGTTTTGGAGCCACTGCTGGTCCTCCCACTACTCCATAACTAGCCGGTCCCACCAGTTGGAACTGGTGTCCTGCCTCCAAAAACGCCTCTGTGATGTGCAGTTGCACGGGTCTTGCTCCTGCACACAGGGAGAGGGTCTCCAGAATGAGCTCTGAGTCAAGCTTATGCAAGGCCAGGAAGGTAGCTGGCACAAATTGATGTAGAACTGCAGCATGGCAGTGTGGGGCCATCTCATGCCTGGGGCAGCTCTGGCTCCGTGGCACAAAGAAAATTGTTGTGGCATCCAAAAAAGCAAGGCAACTGTAGCAGGCACTGTGAGCTTTGCTGTCCCCTGAAGAGGTAGGCAAGCATCCAGCATAAGCAGAGAAATGGCTCTCCACAGGGGTCCCGTTAAGCACGTGTCTCATCAAAACTTCGGCACGAGCACTCGGAAGCAACTGGTGACCTAAAGTTCTGGCTGAAGTGGTTCCGGGTGGCCTTTTATGTGATCATTGTGGATGTTATCTTGCTTTTTCGATGCGCTTTGGCTCTCTCGAAAGTTTTTTTGGAAGATCTGTTCTGGAAAAGCTTCTTCCAAAAGGAGCCTGCAGTCTAGATGTAGCCTCAGTAAGGTGGTTCTGGCTGATAGAACTAGGAGCATGCAGCTGCCGCGGCAGGAGGAATTCATCAAAAATGATCTGACCTGACCAAAGCCCAAGAGAGTTGCATTGTTTTTCTGGTTGCAGATAAGGTTGTATGACCTTTGTCTTTCCAGTCTGTCCCCCTCATTTCTTTCCTCACTATTCTTGTTTTGTTGTGTCCTATATTTCATTGCTAGGTGCTGCAAGACAGACACCATGATGGTTTTATATTTGCTCTGATCTATGGGTATTGAACATTTTGTGGACACTCAAAATAATAAGATGAATAATTTGAATTAAAAAAAATTTAGAAGCTAGTTCTCTGTCTAATATAGATATTAGGTCCCATTTTTGTGAGCACAAATGTAAGTATAAAAATGCATGCATAAAACTTGCACGTGCAAAAAGATGACTCGTTTTAGAGAAAATGTGAAGATGCTGTATTAAAATGCCATATTTTCACAGAACATTCAACATTGCCTCTAATTTTGTGGTCTCAAACAGTTATGGGTGGGCAGATATGCACAGTCAAATAAATTTTTCATAAGTCTTCCCTCCAGCTCTTCCTCCTTTTGTAGTCTCAATAAAGTATGTGACAGTTTTCTTACTGAACTGATTGTATTGTATTCAGTCAGTTCTGCTTGCTTTAGGGATAAAAAGAAGCGTTAACTACTTTTTACAGTTAAGAGTAGAATTAATATGCTCACTCACTCCCAGCTGTGTTGTCTCTGCAAAGTAAATAGAGTATCTTGCAGAGCCAATACAGCTGAGAATAGCGATGTAAAAACTGCCTACAGTAAATTTTTAAATGTTTTGTTTAACCGGTTAACCACTGGCAGCAGGTGGCGGGATCCACTCTTGTTCCAGCACCACTGCGCTGTGGGTGACAAGGGCTGCTCCAGTCCCCTTGTTTAGGTGCATCTACACTGCACAGTTATTTCAAAATAACAATGCGAGCCTCGACACAGTAATTCCATTATTTCGAAATAAATTCAAAATAACATACAGCTTATTCCAACTTCTGTGAGCCTCATTCAATGATGCTTTTCCAAAATAACTATTTCAAAATAGCTGTAGTGTGGATGCATCTACACAGAGGAGTTACAACATGGCACTTTGGTTATTCACCTTTGTAATTCAAACTATAAGGCAGTGTTAACAATCTCTTATTTTGAAAGGGAAACAAATGGGAATGGGGAAAAATCTCTTCTTTTAAAGTGAATATTTGTCATGGAAGTCTTTGAGAGAAAATAAACATGGAATGCCAGAATGTTTTAATTGTCCTTTTATAGAGTACGATCACATTTGTAACTTGTGTATAGTGCCAGAAGTATAAAGCTGAGACAACTTTAACTTCCCACTTTAGGGCACAAGTATTTACACATATAAATCGGCAATACAGCATATACATTATTTCTTTTGAGTCTATGGGTCTGCACTTATAGTTGATTTTTAAAAACTTGATCCAGAATTTTGACAGTGATTTTTTCCCTTATCAATTCAGGGGTAGTATGCTGTTTATTCAACAGTGTGCTGCTTTTTCAACAAAATTTTAAGAATGTGAAGATCACAGAGTACGCTATATAATTTAGTAGCTCTATTTGAACACCAAATCAATTTTAATTTTTATATTCTACTGTGTAGTAGCCTCTCAGTATAAAATGATAAAAACATTAATAAGTAACATTGTTTTTCTGTCTTTTTTTCTACTTCTTTGTTTTGCTTTTTCCTCTTTCCAACTTGCTGTCTCAGTCTCCTGTCAGCCCTAGCTATGAGGTATGTACTAAATTTACTCCATTCTCTATCTGTCAAGAACAAATGTGTTAGAAGTTCAGCACCTTTTATTTTTCAGGCCTAAAATTAGAACTAGTCTTAAGACACAAATGGGTTAGTTCAGGTTTGTATGTCATGTTTTCAAAATTCAGGAGCATGTAGCTACATGGTATTGATTTGGCCTTGAAAGAGAGAATGACCAGGCACACAAGTAAGAAGTATGTTCAGATTCCAAAATGCACATTGTCCCAGAGTCAAGAAGTTCAGTGCTTACTGTTTTTTCTCTGTTGTATTCAGCGTAAACAAATAAAACTTAACTTACTATATAGTTTAGAAATGTGCATCCCTCCGTCCGTCTATCTGTGAGTCCATTTGTTCAAGAACTCCTCCTAAAATAAGAGCTAGGCCCAGCAAATTAGGTGTGCAGCTTTCTCTTATCTTTAACTTAAAGCAAAGCCAGGGTTTGGTTGTACCAGGACAATGGGATATGCCTGTAATCTGATTGTTTCTCATTAAATGGAAAAGAGCTTGATAAGGACAGTTATGCTCCACAATGACCAAAGGAGGGCAGCAAGCGCTGGTGACAGTTACGCAGCAAACTGACCACAGGGGGGGCAGTCACACCAGTAAGAGAGTGACCAGCTGAGGCCGGGACTCTGTAAGTTGCAGGCCACTGGCCATGGGTAAGTGGCCCACCTACCCCAAAGCCTCAGCTCAAACTACTTCCCCTCTCCAGTCCTCAGTCACAGCACCAGAGGGGATGGCCCCACTGCCACAGGCCCCTCCAGAAAGCATCGCTGACAAGGCAGAGCAGCCTGCCTGGCCAAGGAAGCAGCCGGTCTACCATGACTGTCTCCATCCACTGGGAGGATCCATTGGCAGAAGAGCGCACTCCTGCTGCTCCCCCCCACCCCGGATGAACTGCCAGCTGGGGCAGGACAGCACAGCTCCTGCTGCCATGGCTCCCTCGGGGAGAAGCCACCTGCAGGATGGCATAGCACCAGCTGGCCTCGGGCTTCCCTGAGCCCTGCCACACTTTCCAACCCCCTATTCTAAGTCTCCTGCACTGAGCCTCCAAACAGCCCAGCCTCA